GGCGAGGCGATTATCGCTCACGTGGACGGTCTATAATCGCAAATGTTTAGACGAGGAAAGTTTTTTATATTCTTTCGATAATCGTATCTTCGAGACGAGAAACTCTCTCCATTTAAATGGGCCTTAATACACCCTGTGCCCTCACCCAAGAGCTGTACGCATGTGGACAGTGCCGCCACATGGTATTTTATGTTAATAAATTTGTAGATATTGTCTACTTGTAACGAATAATATTTACAGTACACACATCAAAAAAAGTTTGCGATCAATAGCATAAGCTCCTATAATTCTTTAAATTTAACTTTATCAAGAAAAAATCTATGTTGTATGCTTTCTTTAAATAGGAATACCCTGTTTGAAATTAAAATATAAAACTATTTTTTATTATTTATTTTAAAAAATTGAGCCATTAATCATAATGTAATAGTGATAGAAATTTCATAGAAAGAAAAAGACTGTTTAATTAAACTTAAACAACTATTTATTATTAAAAGGTGTGAATTCAATATAAAATAACTCCTCCCCTGACTCGAATACATGCGAAGATCCTCCTGGGCATGCTGAGGATCAAGTTATCCAGCATTTCCTGGGGTAACCTATCCCATTCTTCAATAGCGGCTTCCCTGAGCTCTGGAACTGTCTGGGGACGTGGCTCACGGTTCCATACTGCTCGTTTAAGAGCATCCCACGCGTGCTCTATTGGGTTTAAGTCGGGCGAGCCGGCAGGCCAGTCTAATCGTTTGATATCGTATTCTTGAAGTGCAGCATTGACTCGTTGAGCTCGATGTGCGGGCGCATTATCATCGACCAGTACAAATTGGTGCCCATGGTTTACTCGGAATGGTCTGACGACATCATCAATAGCAACTGCTTTGTACATGTCTGCTGTCATGAAGCCCCGATACGGGATCAAAGGCGTTCTAGCTCCAATCATAATGCCACCCCAAAAGGACACCGATTTTCCGCCTTGCTGAACTGTTCCAGTGGCAGTTCTTTGTGTTTCACGGTCGCCTGGTCTTCTCCAGACACGGACACGTCGGTTATCTGGATGAGTGCTGATTCGGGATTCGTCAACGAAGAGACAGTTTTGCCAAATGTTTTCGTCCTCACCTTCTTCATTTTGCCGAAGTCTAGCCCACTGCAATCTTCGTTGTTGACGTTGCCGGGAATTGAGCGGAGCTCGCCAAGACCTCCGTGCTCGTAATCCAGCCTGGTGCAAGCAATTGCGAACGGTCTGCGTGCTAACTTCAAGCCCAGAGGCGGCCCTGACTTCTGCTTTTATTTTAGTGGCGTTGATTGTTGGATTGGATCACGGGCTGCCAGCAATCTAATATAGCGCTTTTGGGCAGCTGTCAAAACAGTTGGGCGACCGCTGCGGGGTCGGTCAGCTAAATTCCCCATTCCGTGATACCTCTGCAACGTAGCCACGACACAGGATTGGGATATAGCAAGTCTGCGTGCTATTACTCTCGTGGTGTATCCTTCTTCCCTCAAAGTTACTATTCTAGCTCGTAAAACCTCTGATAATCCTCTTGGCATTTTTTCAATCACAACTTTCCGCGAAAAATATCTTGAATCGCTTATAATTGACTAATTCAGATTTATGAATGAGCGTAAGCTAGGACTGAAAGCCTTTTTATATGAAAAAACAATTGAACGGGGTCATTGTCTTATGTTCTAATTTATTTTTAAATAAAGAATCTAAAAAGAAGAAAAAATCATAATATAATCTACAGTAACAAAAAAGATTTCAGTTTTTCGAAGTGATCGCAAACTTTTTTTGATGTGTGTATGTACTTATTTTAATGTTATAAATACGTGTACACTAGAACTAGTTAATTTAAATATCGAGCCTGTTAGCGCATTGCTAGGTGGTTAAAGTATTATGCATACCACTTAAGAAGAGTCGCTTTTTGTACAAAATTTTGAAATTAAATTTAAAAAAAGAAAAAGAGCTAAGTATAAGACTTCGCGAACGCCTATGCAATTATGTAGAGCCGTCAATTTAAATATTTTTACTTCGACACATTTCTAATTCAACTATGACACACTTAAGAACTAACAAGCACATAGAAAAATTCGTAAGGTCCGTTAGATCGTTCGGTCGCTTAGTTGGCATAGCGTCTCGCATGGTTTGCTGGAAGACATTGGTTCGAATCCAGGCAAATCGAAGGAAATTTTTGTACATGTTCGATCTTTGTATTAATAATTATAACATCGATGTTTTTATTAATAATTATACAAACTAGTGGAGTAATTACACAAAAATAATTGAATATCGTGGTGGTCAAACATCGTGACATTTAATAAACTTAAAAATTACTTAAGAACTGTCCAAAGTCGTAAACGACTAATCTAAACCAAGCATGTTGGCTGTACTTACATGAAACAAAATATACTCCCGGACACAATTTGAGCCACCTCGCATTTTTGTCGTAAAGGAGCAGAATACAAAAATAGTGTTATCATCGAAGAAAAAAATTTCCCCCGGTTTTGCAAATCCAAATTTCCAACAAGGACTTATGGAAAAGACGTTTAGTATACTAGTTTCAAAATTTCATAATAGTTTTTGATCAATCAAACATTGCTTAAGCTTAGGGCACTTAATACTGAAAATACATGACGGCTCGAATTATGTGTCCGGAAGTGTATTACAATCGATGCGTATAACATCGTTCCATTGGTATCAGGCAGGAAACAAATCTTGGAATTTGTATTTCAAAACACAACAGTAATAATTTCAGTCCACAATCGTTTACTATTCATGAATGGTGACTAACAAAAGTATAACTTTCTTTAATGCAAGCCTTGAATTGCGTTTTGTTCAGTAGCATATTAAGTGATGAGAAAGAACTTCATTATAATTATATTCTCTATTTGTGATCATACCATACAGATTAATCCTTTGCGGCTTGCATGGGTACATACACCAGGTCTTAGATACCTTTGCGAATATTAGACGTACTATAAAATTCTGACCTATTAACTCTTGAAGGGACATACGTCTCTACAAATTCATTGTAATGATTGTACTACCATCATTACAATGAGTCCTACATTAGAAAACTACCTTACGAATTTTTACGAAACTTATTTAGTACGTACCTCCATTTGTTGCAAAGAGAGTTTATTATTTTGTTCGTGTACTCTAAACGTACGCGGCAGACATTATCTAGCGTGTAAACAAAATAAGGCTCAGTGCTTATAGAAAAATGTCACCTTTTAGTGGAGACCTAAAACACAAATCAAATTGCTCTGCGATAGAATAAATAATTGTACTACAAATTAAACACGAACCCATTAAGCTGAACAAACGCTAATATGCATACATACCAAACTATGTTTTGGGGTAAATTCATTAAAATTTTGCGAGAGACATTATTGGAAACTGTTTTTTGTTTTTGTTTCATGTCAGCCGGCACGTCATAATAACTGACACAATTAACCACTTCCGCTCTCAGAGAAATACTTCCGGAAAATCCGGAAAAGGATGCCTTCAAGGCTTCCATACGTTCGGATACACGCAAATAGACTGAAAAGGGTAACACGTATCAACTGCTAGTATTTTCTCTGTAACTAGTACCGTACTAGTATGGAGAGGACACTATTTCTAACCATAGACAAAATCCTTTTATTATAGTAGCAAAATTGCAATGTACAAAAGAGATATCATATGACATTCCCGTAATATAGAGTGAGATAGCAGCTGGTAGATGCTCGCTTATTTGAAATGCTACTATATAACACTAGATGATAGAAAAAAAACCGACCCGTCAACAGGATCGTCAAATTCCGTCAAATTCTATAGTACTTGTACATATTTTTGCTTTTCCGCCAAAGTACAGAGTCATCTAGGTTTGCCAAAATGGCAGAGGGCCAAGAAGAACCCAAAAAAATTACGATTACAGTGAAAACTCCAAAAGAAAAACAGCAAGTGGAGATCGAGGAGGATGCCGATATCAAAAAAGTAAGTTGTGCGAGAGCAGAAACCTCGTTCATGGCGTAATAACACAGATATTGCATACGCAATCAGTGACGACATTTGTTTAATCATTCGGCAAGACTGAACGTTGTTTTTGGTGATTGTAGTTGAAGGAGGTGCTGTCTCCGAAGTTTAACGCGGAACCAGAGCAGTTATGCCTTATTTTCGCTGGGAAGATCATGAATGACGCTGACACCCTGAAGCAGCACAACATCAAAGATGGGCTGACGGTGCATCTCGTGATCAAGACACCGCCGCGGCCCGAACCTGAAGGAGGCCCCCGCCGTCCACCAGGTACCGTACTGTTTACTGTACCTTACAATCCTCGTTCACTGTCGCAGTACATAGGTTATAATTTGCATTTGCTTCTTTAAGTGTCACTTCATTAATAAATATTTTCTTAATTAATTGATGATTCATCAACTTCAATTATAGTTGATCTAAAAGGTGTAACCTTATTTTTAGTAAAAAACAAGGTTTTGTTTTGTGTTGCAATACAGCCATTCATTAAAATGACAATGACACTGGCAGTTTTATTAAATATTAATTTTCTGATATGTAATTAGTACATTATACGTGTGAAAAATGCTGTATTTGTTCATTGATGCAAATATTCTTGAGTAAAAAACATAAAACAAAATTTTGTAATGAATGTGACATGACATCCACCCATAAAGATCCTACGATTATTACACAATCCCAGATTTTCACTAACCAGGATAAGAGCAGGAGTTAAGCTTCAACTCGTCCCTATACAGACTTCATAGGCCACACTAAAAGGTTAACATGCAGGTTTCCTCATGATGTGTTGTTTTACTGCTTGCAAAGAGAACAGATTTATCATACATAAAGATTTATTGCCAAAATAATTCACTACAATGTGCCATAATAACAATTATTATACATTTTTGAAACCACATTGTCCAAGTCAAAGTATAAAGTGTGTGCATTAAAAACAAATTGGCCCTTATGTATGGAAATACCAGCCTCAATGGCCACTGCCACCAAGTAACAAACTTTTTTAAACTGGTTCTGGTTTATGTGCTAATTTCTGGGGTTAAATTGGTACTCTGGTACTTGCATTACAGGGATTGCCTTAGTTTCAGATCAGGTAATTGATGTGACTGCCTGGCATATATTGTTGGCATACACAATATGCCTTAACAAAGGTCTGAAACACCCTCCATCTTGTAACTCACATGCTCCTAATCTGGTCAATGAATTGTAGATAATCAAGATTAGAAAAAATTGCTTGTCAATTGAATATAACTTTATTTGAATTTATGTTAATTACAGCTGACATAAGTGCTACTCCATTTGGCATGAACTCGCTGGGAGGTCTGGCAGGTCTTGAAAGCCTGGGTTTGGGCCAGAGTACATTCATGGACTTGCAGGTAATTGTTCTAATGCATTTTTTACAAACATACAACCATGGCATGCAGGGAGGAATCTTTTTAATGTGAAATAGGTGTGGTACATGCTCTGACAAATGTCACTTGATATTAAAAAATGCAAATTGAATATAACCTTGAATAGTGGGCTGGATATAGCTTTTACCAAAAACTTTTTGGGATGCAATTGCTGGCAGTGTATTCCAAACCTTTGCTTGCAAAACACATTAGGAAAGAGGAAGCACATTGCTTCATGCTAAATCGTGGTATACGAATGAAGGAGTACTCCATGTATTTCGGACTTTCTAGTCAACTTTTTTATTTATTTATTTTATATTATTATTACACATTTCAATTTACAATTGACGAAACAAAAACAATTTTTCGCACATTGTAGATTACGACTTTATCTACAACATATAGAAAATTTAAAATATATTGAATATTATTGTAGTTAATATAATAATATGTCCGTAGCACATATCACAGACAAAGCACGCCAAAAGTATTTTAGAAAATACAGACACATACACATACATGAATGGTTAGGTGCAAACCAGCACCACTAGCACATCCCGGACACTCCAAACAACGGTCGAAAATTATTTACTTACTACTACAAAGCAAGGCGCTAGCTGCACACGCGCAAATGTGTGCGTGAAGTGGCAGGGTTACCCATCACTTTCTCGGACTATTACGTTACGTGGTCAAAGCGGCAATATAGCGAAAATTCTAACACGAATCTGTTATCTATGATTCTATCCATAGAATCCTAATAATTAAACATGTCTATTAGGTATTTATGTCAATATATTATTATATTTTTCATTAATTCACTAACTAGAGTAATATTGAAGATTTATTTCAAAAATATATTAAAAGCACTTAAAATGTTATATTTCGGACATGTACTTTTAAGTAAGGTAACCAAGGTATTTGAAATTGCGTGTCCAAGTTTAGTTAATAATTAGATATATTCACTACCTACATAATATTTATCAGGAATAAGAATAGGAAATTCGCGAACCCTTGTCTACTAGCTCACGAAGTCACGGCGTCTCATTATATTGATATAATAAATCTGTATTTTTATACATACATTTATTGTATAACTCTTCAGTAAATAAATGAAGAAAACAATAACTGAATGAGTCCCAGACATAAGTTTTTTTACTTCGTTTCATCTTTCGGTAACTAATGATAAACAGCCGTACACAGCACAATTCACGACCACTATAAATAGTAACGTAAAATGATGTTTTATAATAACCTACAAGTTTCGTAATGAATAAATGATAAAATGTGATGTCAAAGCCGTCTGCGCGCGAAAACGGCTCGCCGGCAGCCTTGTTGTCGTTCGGTCAATGTAACCGGCAATGTGCGGGGCGTGGTGCGGTATCTAACACTAGTGAGGGGCGGACACTATCCGTTCTCTTATTCTTTATACTCTGCCACTAGCCTGAATAACATTATATTGCTACGCATTGTCAGCTGCTGAACGCTGTGAACTCACTGCGCACTGGCCCCGTTCATGGAATATTCGACACAAAAGGCGGTATAAACCAATAATAAATACAGAAACAACTTTGATACAGGATGGTAACATTTTTCTTTTGTTACTGTTAGGAGAGAATTTATTTTAATTATAAGTATTTATATAATGATATATATGTATATGTGGGTGTATTTCTAAAAGTGTGTCCATAAAAATACAATAAAAATTATGTTACTATTTTAAGTTCTTTCTATGTTCTGTTATGTAAGGTAACCTAGAAGATAACTTTTGGGTACAAATTTGATATTTTTATCATTAATCTTATTCTTTAACTCAATTGGGAGCTTATTAATCGAGGATGGAATTGTACATTTTAATTGATGTTTTCCATACATATTATTAAACTTAGATGCATTGAGTAAGGCATTTGATGCACTTCCGGTAAAACTGTGAGGAGGAATGGTGTAGCTAAATTGTAAAGATCCTGTTCACACTTTCGAAAGTGTTTCCCATATAGACTCTGTATTATACTAGGGTGCAATCGGCGAGATCCTCACATCTCTAGAATGTAGCATTTCCTATCATGGATTAATAGTATTAGTAACAGAGCTCCTTGTGAAAGAGTTACTGCCACCTTACCTATTTCTGCCTCTAAACAGTAACGTGAGCATTACTGTGTTTCAATTTTGAGAGTAAGGGTGCTGGTGAAATTACAGGCACATGGGACTTGTCAACTTATGTTTCAGGACCGTAGGCGCAGTAGCAGTGTCCCTCAGATCTTTGCGATTTAACCTCTGAGTGGCACGGCAACTGGGCTAAAATTAATTAATAAAATTGAACAAAATGTATATATATATAACACTTTATTTAAAATGATAAGAGATTTCTACGTTACATTCTTGCTTTGTAAACAATAGGACGTTCGGTAACTTTCATTCGATAACTGTGTTCGGAAAAATATTTGTAGCCTTTGCCGGTCGAGAAGTTCGAGAAATCGTGCGGGTGTGATGTCATTTCGGTTCGGTTTCAAATAGGACAGTATGACGTTCGATGACAAACGTGAAAAGAAATCGATCGACAACTGAGTTATCGTAAGGTTCTGAATCGACCTCTTGCTCGGAAAATAGTTAAGACCCTCGATAACGATATCCAATCGAACGATTCGGTTAAAATACCGAAGAGTTCCGAATCGAGGTGTTGGTCGGGGTGTTCCGGGTAGTGCGCCAGAGTGAATTCCGTTACTCTGTTACACAGGGAATTCCCTAGTTTGAGGCCTGGTAATTAGTGTGGTTATCGTATAACTACCTGCATATTTTACACACTGTGAAAAATGTTGCCACTAATTAAAGTTAGCTGAAATTTAGGAACAACTCAAACAACAGGGTATGAAATTTGGAAATTTTTTCTTTACATTTGTCTACAGCTTTAATAGTCTGCGTTGTTGTATTATTATATTAATTTAATTAATAACTTACAATACTTATTATTATTATACCATTTCACCAGGCCCGCATGCAACAAGAGCTGCTGACGAACCCGGACATGCTGCGTCAGGTTCTGGACAACCCGCTGGTGCAGCAGATGATGAATGACCCGGAGAACATGCGCACCCTCATCACTTCTAACCCCCAGATGCAGGACTTGATGGCTGTAAGTTCGCATTGCGTTAATTTGTTTAAAAGGGGCCACTCAATTTTAGTAACAGTCGAGCTCTTGTGAAAGAGCTCGTTCAGGGAAGTACTGCTACCTTACCTATTTTTGCCGCCAAGCGGTAATGTGAACATTACTGCACTTCTGTTTTGAAGGATAAGGGTGCTGGTGAAATTACTGGCATGTGGGACTTGTCAACTTATGTCTCATAGTGACGGGCGCAGTGGCGGTGCCCCTCAGGTCTTTGCGATTTATAGCTCTGAATGGCACTGCAACTGCTATGGACAGAGGCGTCGTTTACCACCAGGCGCAAAATTTGTTCATCCCGTCACTTTGTATCACAAACTTTCCAGCTATCATTACTATTTTTATTGTATTTCAATAAAAAAAATTATAGGCCCTTGGGACCAATGTTGCCCGGTATCTCTTTGACCGATAACGGTCTATTGTGACAAATCGCCAATAGCTATTTAGATCCTTTTGCATACGCCACAACCGCACACATGACAATATTTCAAATGTTATTGATTGTTTGTAATTTGATTTGTTTGCTTTGTTGTTTTTTCTTTTCGTGTTTTATTTTCTATTCTTTTTTTGTGTATTTTTGTGATGTAGTTATTTGTAGCAAAGTCCCAAGTAAAATTTCAGATCACAGTTTTGTATAGTAAGCAGTCTTAGACATTGTGTTGGTAGGTGCCCCACGTGCTACCAGTCTGTCCTTCTCAGGTATCCTCACGAGCTACATTCCGACTGCAAGCGGCACTAGGAGTCAGCAGTTGGGATGTAATTGATGCTAATTGCAATTGAGGTTAATCTTGGAAAGACAGCTGCCTAGTACACATCTATTAACTTTTAACACTATATGCCAATATAAAGACAACTTACAGCTAATTTTAGCGAGGGTTAATTTTGCACCACAAGTAATATGTATCAAGTGCATAATCCAAAAATGTATGTGACTCAAAAACGACCCAAAAGTTCTTTTACCACTTACTGACGCTTATAATCGCCTTACTTTCTCAAACTCTTGTATTAAAGCAAAGTTATTGAAATGCAAAAAATGGATTGTATATACAAATTGTGCAGGCTGATTTCACATCACATTTCCTTCATATTTGCACAAGTCAAATAATCTTCATTTCATAGGTAAGCAAATTACACTTGAAATCGTCATACTGATCAAACTCTACTGCTCATTCGTAAGGCAGATTCCCCCGAGAAGAATGAGCAAAAAACTCTAGGGGTTGCTCTTTGTAAATGTACATTTGAATACTTTGATCATTACAATAAATTTAATTTACACATCTTAGATCGAGAATACCTGAAAGAGCTAAACGGGTCAAAGTAATGCATACAAATTAGCATCCTTGATAAGGAGTTTAAAATAAATTAAAAGTTTTGCTAAATCTCCTGAAGAGTGATTAAGATAAGAGTTTGAGAAAGTAAAACGACGTACATGTATATCATTATTGACACAAAGATCGAACACGAACAAAAATTCTTCCGATCTGACTGGACTGTGGTTCCGGTATGGAAACAGTTGCTGATTTCAGTCCAGTCAGATTGAAAGATTTTTGTTTTTGTGTTCAATTGTTATATCAATAATAACTACAAGTAGTGG